TCCAAAGTCAGATTTTTGGCAGATTTTTTTGCCGCCTACAGCTAGTAAACCTCGAGCTGGAGTACTGACATTGTACTGTTCTTCTCAGGTTGACGGACAACGGAACAGAACAGGATCCACTCCAGGACCCCTGATGGGCCTCAATGTTTTCAACCAGCTCTTTGTTGGTGGATATAATGAGTACACCCCTGAACTGCTGCCACTTGGATCCAGGTTCCGTCACAGCTTTCTGGGTAAGGCTGCCACGACTGTATTACAACCCAACGCTGTTGTCTGGAGTTATAGCACTGGGACTTGGAGTTTCTCCCAGGATCTCTGTCTCTTTGTGAGCAGAGGGGAAGGTGCGTAATGAAAAAGGCAGTGACAGGCTCGGACAGCTGTATTAGGCCAGAACAGAGCTTTGAGGTTGATTGTATCTGCACCCTTTAATCACTTCACACCCCCTGTACACTTTTGCATTGTGTGCAAATCCAATCCGGCTGCTGATAAGTCACTTGAACAAGGGTGCCATACAAATCATCTTCGTTAATATCAACATCATTCTCTCAGGTGACCCAATGTAGGAATGTATTCTGGAGAGCATTCATTGTGCCCACTAATGTGCGGAACTGTGGAGCAAAATTGCCATAAAAGTAATGAAGACAACAGCTATGAATATCATCATAACCATATAGAGCTCTAGTCTCTCCATTACAGCGATGAAGCTTGTTATTACAAAATGTCATGGCGGATCCATTTGAGGTGAGCAAGAGCTGTTAATATTTAAGGACTGGAGCCATTTTGTGTGTTTGCTTATTCATCATCGCATTATTCATTTTTCTGCTTGCCAAATAAACTTTCCAAAATCAAATCAGCTTTGGTAAAGCACCTGTTTGCCCATGCTGTATAAGATTGTCATACTCCCCTTTGCTGGTAAGCACTACCTGAGTCATGCGACACTGGTGGTACCATGACCTTTTTGCTCGGGATGTAATGAGAACTCATGAGCGTCTAATCAGATCTGTGTGACCTTCCTCAAGCGCTAATCATGATGGCTGGCAGTGAACAAACTGATAATGCACTTCACTCCCAGTTATCAACAGATCCACACTCCCCCTGTGGAAAGGTGGCAGAGGAGGTACTGTGGCTTCTGGGTAAAAAAAAAAAAAGAAATCAGTTACTCAATTTGAGCTGTTGATCAAACAACAAGAAATGGGCAAGTTTATGTTTGTCAAACTTGTCTTTTTAAACTGATTTCATCAGACTTGCTGAAATATTTGAGGTTGATTTACCTTTTGAACCATAGTCATAATAGGAAATTAGTAGAAAATATGATTCTGGAACTGAAAATCTCTTTTCTGACAGGTATTAATGCTACCTCTGGTTTCTTGGTTCTGTTACAAGAGTGGGTGAATGCAGCTAAAACAAAAAATAAACAGCTTTTATAATCTTCCTCAAGAATCTGCTTCGCTTTTCGACGGTTTATTTTTTTGCAGCACAGCAACCATCACTTGAGTCTGCCAAGAAGACAGCATCACACCATGAATATTCATGAATGAGCATGACATTTCCCCTGCATCCTGTTTATGCCAATGACTAATGCAGCAGAGACAGGAGTGTGCATGTGACTACATGGCTTGTGTTCAGGCCTTGTATTTATAGAGGGTCCTGTGCTCTGCAGGTACAGGCCAAAGCAAATATTGTCTTGATAAAATTGCGTTATGAAAGCAAAAAGCAAATATGATGAGGCAGATGCATGATGAGTGGGGGGGACATCTTGGATGTGAACTGTAGAGACTGCAGAGATTATATTCCATCAAATTCATAGTTGACATCTAATAAAGACATGCAGATTTCAGTATGTTTACTTGATAGGAAACCCTGTGGTTTCTCAGAATACAACAACCGTCAAAGAATTTAATTTCGACCACATTAATCACATTTTAGTGTGCGCACCATTTATTTTCATACACGGAAAGATGCCGTGTTTCCTCCGACAATCCCCTATCAGAGTAATTAAAGATATCCCTCTGACATACAGTCGGTTTGTTTGTTCATTTCAAAGGGTGCATTTTTGACGTGCAGTTTCGTACAAGAAGAGACAGAAAGCTCCAAGTGCTGGGACAGCCTTCGGGACATCCTGCGTTCGGGCGCAGCGTGGGTCAGTGTGGAGTCGACCCGTGTGTTCATGTCCACTGCAGAAACGGAGGGACATGTGTGAACTCCGGCTCATCTGTCTAGTAAGTGAAAATAAACAATATTTCGATTCATTTTCTGATTATTTATAATGATTCCACTTGTGAATAACATAATGTAGTCTTTTCTAGTTGAGTTGAATGCCCCCAGCAGCTTTATGTCATGTGTATACTGTGTATAGCCATATGTATTGTGATCGACATCAGTGCCCTATAGAAAATCAGTTACACAGTGCAAGTATAGCAAAAGGGATTGACAGTGTTTACAAGCTTTTTACAGTGTCTGATTGTGTGCGTCTGCAGTTGCCAGTGCCCATTTGGATGGAAGGGAGCACTCTGTTCTGAGACGGTGTCTGTGTGTGATGTCGAGCACAGCCCCCCTCCTCTGTGCGCCCATAGCTCCACCTGCATCCCTCTCCCGAATGGATATACCTGCCAGTGCCCCCTGGGGACTGCAGGACTCTACTGCGAAAAAGGTTGCATCATTGAATCATAACTGGATAATAATAATGTTTCTTTTCCTTCATTTCATAAGACAAGACCTTCACTATTCAATTACTGCTCTATTGTTTTGCCTGTTCAGCTGTGGCCATCAGTGATCCGTTCTTCAGCAGTAACCAGTCTTCGTGGATGTCATTCCCACCTGTGAGTACTAGACACAGGACTGTTGTGCAGCTGCAGTTCCAGCCTTTATCACCTGATGGCATCCTTGTCTACACTGCACAACATCTCGGTGCCAAAGCTGGTGAGGATATTCAATTCCAGTTTATTTTAATGAACGAAATATTACTGTTTACTGTGCAGAATGTCAGTGTGTTGATATGTAAGATCACTATTTTCTCTGATCCTTGTTTTGTTATCAACATATCATACTGTATGCTTATTTGACTTTTTTCAACATATATTTAACATTTTATGGGTTTTTTTGTCGACATGGTCTACTATTACTTTTTCTGAACTTTTTCAAAATACTATTCTATGACTTTTTTTCTTAACATATTATACTGTCATTTTTTTTTGCTTTTTTCAACAAACTGTAAGATAACTTTACTTTTACTTTTTTGTGAATATTTCCAACGTTCTATGAATTTCTTTGACATAATGTGACTTTATCACTACTTTTTTACATACTGTACTAGGATTTTTTCGGACTTTTTTGAAAATGTAGTCTGACATATTTATAACTTTTTTCGTCATACTATACTATGACCTTTTTTTCGACATACATCACTGATGTTTTTCCACTTTTTTGACATAATATACTAAGTTTTTGACTTTTTATGACTATATTTGCCATGCTATGTTATGACTTTTTTATTTTTATTGAGATACTATACTGTAACTTTTTTGTATGTTTTTTATGATTTTTGTCAACATACTATACTATGACTTTCTATGACTTTTTAATTACTTTTTTTTTTCGACACAGTACTATGACTTTTTATGACTTTTTTCGACACACTTGTGGTTTTTTCAATGTCGATGATCGTTGGCTTGAAGTTGATTCTACCTTAATATATAAAAGCTGGCTTAACACTTATTTGCTATCTGACTCGTGGTGAGATACCACAGGATTCTCACTAATACAGGAACTCAGTGACGAACACCCACAGAATACAAGAGAGATTGAAGTTTCTTCAGTTCACGCAGATTTATTTGCACTACACAGAATACAAGCAAATCGAGTTGTCCGGACTCAACTGAACTAGAACAAAGAAATGCAACCTACTTTATACTCCCCCTCCCCCCCCTCCCCATGCAGGATGACCCCCCTTTACTCATCAGCCCTCAATGTTCATCTAAACAATAATTTCGTTCATCAAGACTACAGTAGGGGATTCCTTGGCTATTTGCATCCTGTTTCCCCGTGGGAGTGGGGGACATCTGGGCTGCTGAGATAGGCAGTTGGTTCACTAATTAATCAGCATCATAAGGGACACCTGTCAGAGGATCCTACTGATCTCTGTTCCCCGTCATGCTAACTCAACAGGAATGCAGTCCAATGACCAGTATCTGTGCCTCTACTATGTTTGGGCCTATGTGCTGCTTGGATGGTAGCTTTGGGTCTTTCCCTGCTTTGTCTCAGTCCCCCCTCCCTTCCTTCTTATTTATTAATGCTCCTGCCAAACTTCTGGAGACATCACAGCCGTCAGCCGGTCACAGTGACCCAAGAAGAGCCAGACATTCTGGTCCCTGGGCCCATACACAAAGTGCGTCCTGTTTTCCTAGGGCGTGGTAGGGGTGATATTGCGGCCAGTCCCAACTGGACTTTTACGTAATTTTAGGACTCATGAGAGACATGAATCCTGTGACTAATCCTATGTCAGTGACTGTATGACTATGCCGGGGCCTGAACTGAGTTTGATACAAAAGAGTACAAAAGTAAGATTATAAAGATTACCTGAGCAAACGTATAATATAGAACCAAAATAAATGCATACATTTTACAGATAGATGAATAAACACATAGGATAACCTTGGAGAAAATAATATAGTGGCAAACACATACATTTTTCCTCCCTCACACTATACTATGACTTTTTCCACATGCTATACTATGACTTTCTATGACACACTATACTGACTTTTTCATGACTTTTTTCGACATGCTTATACTATGACTTTTTCATCATACTATAATTATTTCAACATGCTGACTTTATGACTTTTTTCGACACTGACTTTTTGTGACATTATAATATACTATGACTTTTTCATGAAAAAAGTAATATTGTAGCATGTCACATTCAAGTTTTACCACATGTCGTAAAAAAGTAATCGTAAAGTGTGACATTTAAACGAGAAAGAACTCGAGACATGTCTTACTATTTTTATTTTATTTCTACAGGAGACTTCTTCTGCCTCTCCTTGACATCCGGCTTTGTCCAGCTTCGATACAACCTCGGGGATGGCACCCACGTCTTGCAGTCTGTTCAGCGAGTGGACTTGCACGGCAGGACCTGGCACACAGTGAAGGCTGGAAGAGTTGGTCACCAAGGCTTCCTCAGTCTGGATAATAAGGAGATAAGAGAGCATGCGACTGAAGGGATGACCACCCTAGATGTTGCTACAGACATCTTTGTCGGGGGCGTGTCCACTCTGAGCTTCGTCTCTGTGGATGCAACTGAAGGGGAGCCGCTGGGCTTCACTGGGGGTTTAAGAGAACTTCTAATCAACGGTGAGGAGTTTGAGTTAACAGAGACCGGGGCGATAAGTGGAGCGAACGTAGGGGACTGGGATGGGACCGCCTGCGGGTACAAGGTGTGCCACAACGGAGGTCGCTGCAGCGCATCAGGAAGTGGCTCATTCACATGTTTATGTCTGCCATCGTGGACTAGCTCTGTGTGTAACCAGTCTGTAAGCTGTGTAAACAACATCTGCAAACAGGGTTCCTTATGTGCTCCATCTAGCGTCACCTCCTACCGCTGCATATGCCCCTTGGGGTGGGGTGGGGGGTACTGCGACACAGAAATAGCCACGGACACCCTCAGGTTTGTGGGAAGCTCATATGTTAAATATCAGGACCCGAGATACAACACAAGGAACTTTAAATACACAGAGGTTTCTTTCAGCTTCCACACACGCTCAAACGACAGCATGATAATGTGGATGGGTCGGGCCGAACATGAAGATGATGATTACCTCGCAGTTGGACTTGACAACGGCCACCTCAAAATCGCTGTCAATCTTGGAGAGAGACTTTCCGTCCCGATAGAATTCAGAAATCTCACACTGTGTTGCAACACGTGGCACAATGTCTCCATATTTTTAAACAGCACAATTATCCAGGTGTTCCTGAACTACAAGAGAGTCCTTTTCCACGACTTGGACCCATTCGAGCGTTACGTGGCCTTAAACTATGGTGGTCAGCTTTATTTTGGAGGATTTGAATTGTACCGAAATGTATCAATTGTCACTGCCGGGTTGTTTTCAAACAGCTTTGAAGGAAGTCTCAGAAATGTCTATTTGTTTAAAGATACCAAGCCGCTACTGTTTCTCAACAATAGTGAGGGTTTTAATGTTTATGAGGGCAATGAGTAGTAGTGATGCGATATAAAACTTGATATTAGTTGTGTTGTCTAAGGCCCTCCACAAGGAGATTTGTGTAACACCTGGTAGTAGTTATGTTCAGATGTAGTTATATTTTAATACTCGTTTCTTCAACACTGAAATCTCATCTGACTTTGTTATGGATCATATTGATTTTACTGGGATATGGGTACACCGTCTGATTCAGTGCTGCACACAAGTTGTATTCCCCGAGTCAGTTAATCCAGTCTGTCACCTCAAATAAATAGCTGTAATGCAACAATATAAATCTGTATTAGTTAGTTTTACCTTTAATACATTTAGAAAGAAATTAGATTTTTTTTTTAATAATCAATAAAAAAAAGATTAGCTTTATTATGAACTGTACATAAACAGTGCAAAGGCACACTTCATCTCTAATGTATATTACAAGCCAAAATGTATATACGTAAAAAAAAAGTGTTTGTAAAATATTTTAGCAATTTAAAAAAATTGAAGTAGGGGGAAAAAGCCAAGTTGCTGTTTAGATCACGGTCCTCAGTTAAATGCGTTCTCACCTTCATGCCATCTTAAACTTTTCACCACATGGTCCAAACTTGTTTTGCATGTTACTACGAGACTGAAAACATGTACTGATCAGCACAGCAGCTCAATATGAACAAGATATATATACAATAAAAAGGTTAAAATTTTAAAGTTGTTCCAATATTCTGTACTTCTTGGTTTCAAGAGAACGCGTCTTTAATACCACTGAAACTGTATTTCACTTTGGCTGCACCGTCGACAACATAAAATGGAACTCCTATGGAGGAAATGTGAAATAGCTGCAGATCGCTGGATAAAGTAACAAACAACTCCACTGTCAGCCAACACGGCCGGAGTGGTTTGAACCAGCCACGTGACCAACAAGCTAAAAGTCTTTCTTAGCAGGACTTTAAAAAACAACACAATCAACTGTCTTTTGAACTTCTCCGTCCGTTCTCATAATCAGAGTCCCGTCTGTGTCTGTGTCGGTCCTTGTGACGGCTGCTGTGATCGTCGCTGTGGTGCCTCTCTTTTCTCTTCTCACCGTAGCGGTCCTCCGAGTGTCCGTGGTGCCTGCTCCTCTCTCGCTCGTGGCTGCGTTCGTGCTTTTTCTCCCGGTCGTGGTGTCGGCTCTTTTTCCCGTGGTGAGCGTCCCTGTGATGGCTGTGCCTCCCGTGGTGGTCCCGTTCCTCCGTAGACCGCGGCCTCTCCCACGGGTCATTGTATCGCTCCTCTAGACGCTTGGGATCTTTGGCCAGGGAAGTAGGCTGGCCGGCTGGTTCCGGGTAGCTCTCGGCGTACTGCGATGATTGAAGTCCGGGAAGAATGTGTGAAGTGCTGTCCTGAGCCCACGGTGCACTGTGGTTCTGATCCTGGGTGTGTGGGCTGGACAACGTATTAGGAGGGTCCGTTGGGTGTTCGTCGCTACCAGGCACCTGGGGCTGCTGCTGCGGTGGGATTAGTGAAGCACTGTTGCATGCTGGGAAAGCTTGTGTCATTACGGAGTCGTGTTGGAGCTCAGATGCTTCCGTGTGACTTGCTGCTTGTGGTCCTTGAACTGGAGGAGGATCTACTGTCTGAGTTACTGCAGCAGCAGCCCGGAACATGCCAGGATCCTCCTTTTCACCTGCGAATGATTGAATAGTCGTTTGCTTTTCTCCCTCAGGTTTCTTCTTGGCCTGAGAAACCTGCAAGTATCCTTGGTGAAATAGTGTAACTGAATCATTTCTAGTGCTGCTCAACACAGGAACAGGTTTGGGACTCGAAGGCGCCGGGTGGCTGGCTTGATCCTTTTGTGGTGCGGTTGTTTTATCTACATTCACACTGGAATATGCTGAAGACTTTTTCAATATTCCACTTAAAGGAGGTTTAGAGACGTTGGTTTGAGCTGGAGCAGCCGGGGATTTTGACTGCGACAAAGAATTCCCTTCAAACGGAGCTTTTTCGGTTTCAGACAAAAGGCCAGAGTTGCCTTTGTTCGCAGAGGCAGCGCTGCTAGTTTCAGTCCCAATTTGAGCTGCTGACAAGCTTGCCAGGAACGCTTCGGTCGATACATCTGGAGGCTTATCTTTCAGAGAGACTGGTGCACTACGGGTCACCACTGCAGGATCCTTTCCTGATGAGTTGTTAGCAGCGGACGCATCAGTCGGACCGGATACTTCCGGTTCAGCTTTAACAGCTTTAGCTTCTTTCTTCTTGAAGACAAAGCGCTCTCGAGGAGCAGCAGCTGTTGGACTTTTAGAGTTTTCCGTTGAGGCCTCTGTTGCATGTTTAACTCCAACATCTGGCAGAGGTGGCAATTCCCCACCCCAGCCCAATAACACACCTGGGAGAAAACGCAGTGGTTTTTGGGGTTCCTGACTGTTGGTCTCCTCTGATGCAGATGGTTCTTCTGGAGATTCTGTAATTGGCTCATCAACATCTTCAGGCGTGTTAAGAGGTTTGTCTTTCTCTTTTTTATGTGCAGCAGTCAAGGAAGAGAGGAATTGTATCTCCTCCTCCTCTTTTGCTCGGGTTTCTTTTGTGGAGATGGTGATGGGCTTGATTTCAGGAACAATCCTGGCAGTTTCATTCATGTCCACGGGAAGAAAATCACTTTTCGGTCTCTGGCGAATTATGAGTCCAAGGAGAAGATTGGAGCGGTTGTTTTCTAAACCTGTAAAATGAAAAGATGAATGAAGTTTAAAAGATGAGAAAACGTAAGATCATTGACAGAGAGAAGATAAATTAGGTTTCTGTGTTCAGGTTACCTGGCCCATCAAAGGGAACGAGCTGATGTGGAACTTTTTCAGTGGCCCCCAAAGGTATGAGATACATGTCCTTCACTTGTTTGAGGTTATTGGACACGACCCCGAAACGCCTACGACTGCTGAAGTAGGCGAACAGAAGAGTATAGGAAATCTCATCTTCCTCCGTCTCGGGGGAGAAGCGAATTAGACACACCTCCTTTAATAAAAGAAAACGCACGAGTCAGTCAAATCTGCAATCCATGTGCAAGAAGTTGACCATAACTCTTCAATGGAGCAGCTTTATAATGCATCACATGAAATCGGGATGTTAATTGTGTGACGTAAGCTGCTCTTTTATGTAATTCTGGGTGATTATATTCAATGACTGCATTTTATTATAGGCTGTTTAATCCCCTTTAAGAAGGAAAGCTGCCCAAAAACTCACCTTTGTTCCAGTTGCCCGAATCTTCTCCAAGTAGTCCCACACCGTCTGTGGACTGATCCTTCCGCCAACTTGAACGCTGTCTGGAAGGTCCTATTGAGAGAAAAAGACAAACCTCACTGACAGTACTTCAGTCTAAGACACTTTGCAGCAGCTATTCAAACTTGATGTTCAGTTGTTGTCCACTTTACCTCAGTCACGTTATCCAAAATGCCTGAGACGGGGAAAGCTTTAGTCATAAACTTTGCCACAGAGTGCATATGAATCAGTCCTTGCCACAGGGAGGTCAGGTTAATAAGGAAAGCGGCCTCTTCCTCTCTTCCAGCTTTATGATCCGACCTGTGACAAAGATGACGAAAGCGGATGGAGCAAACTTTGCAAAAAAAAACGAGATGAACACTAGAACCACAGTGTCGGACATAACTGCTGACCTTCCCTCGTAGCCCGACTGAGCGTTTCGGAAGCTCTCTTCTAAAACGGTGAGGTGCAGATCGTCGTCGACGGCAGGTTTCGCTGTGCTCTGCGTCTCCTCTGCTTTGGTGGACTGCCTCCTAACCACTGTAGTAGCAACTTTGACCACTTTGGTTGGTGCCTCCTCCACGGGGGGCGCCATACGACCTTATTGAAAAGAAAAAAACATAACATGACAAGTTGGTAACAGAAGATGGTGACACATCAGCAGACTAAATGGCAAAAAAAGGGCTTAATGAAGATGAATTTTCTCCTTGTTTACCTGTGCAGATTTTGCAGTTTAGGTCAAATAAGTGAGACTTGTGTTGGCTGGTGGTGTCTTTCCCCACGTCGCCACTCACTGCTTTGTTCTCCGGGGTATTCGGAGGTTCCACTGAGTCTTCTGTTGCTTTAGAAGGAGGCTCAAGCTGCCGAGGAAAAGAATAAATACAATGAAGCACACTACTCACCCTCTTCTACTAGTAAACATACAGCACTATTTGTCGTGTCCCTTACCTCTGCAGGCTCAGGTGCCTTCACTGGTTCTTGGCTCTCAATTTCTATTTCACCTTTGTGTGTGATCTTAGTGATCGGCCGCCTCTCTGCCTCTCTTTGCTCTTTTTCAATCATCTCAATGGTCTGTAAAATGAGGAACATATCGCTTTTTAGAGGTCTATTGAATGTTTTGCATTCCAAAATACAACCACAGTTTTTCGAAAAAAATTATAAAAAGAGAACAATGTTAATACTACTTACTGAGCTTAACGCTGTGATTTTATGCAAAACAATTAGTAAGAAAACAACAGCAAAGACTAAAGCAGCACTTACATGTCGGTTCTCCCTTTGTCGCCAAGCAGCCAATTCTTTCGAGGCCAGTTCCTCAGGGCTCATTCGAATCAGGTTACCAGGAGAAATTTCTCCTTTGAGAACCCTCTTAAAGAGGACCTAAAAAACACAATTAAAACAAATAAAAACAAGGCAAATGTAACTTTGTATGTACCAAAATGCAACACAAAGAAACTTTACAGTTGGACCCTGCCTGATCTGAAATGGTACTCACATTATTTTTAGTATCTTTGAGGTTAAACATCAAGCTTCTGTACTTGTTCTTGTATTTGTTGTCGGTGTCTTTGTACAAGTAAAAAAGCTCTTTCTCCGTCTTCTTGGCGACTTCAGTGGCCCTCTCCACTGACACGTTCAAATCGGACTCCTTCAACCTGAAAGGCAGAAAGCGTCACGTGTTTGATGCTTGTAGAAGATTCGGTATTTTTTTTTTCAGTATTTACACAATTCTTTGAATTACTTTCACTCATGAAATACTTACCTCTGTATAAGTATTTCTTTCAGAGAATCACGCACACTTCGTCTAATTGCCTCCACAGACACAGGTTTCTTTGAAGCTGAAGTCTTACTTTTTGTCTCTAGTTTCAGATGAACACCTGTGAGGAGAGAAACAACAATATCTGCTGAACAGGAGGGTGAAAATCTGTGACCGCAAGGATTACAAAATATGAATCATTAAACAGAGTTGCGATAACGTAATCTAACAAGAAGAAGATGCACAGCTGGGAGAAAGTTACTCAATCAAGTTACTCATTTATAGAAGAAAAACCTGCAGTCACCCTGTGTATGAAAAATAAATAGATATGTCATGTGTTGTTCCTTTCTTTGTTCAGTCTTGTAATAGCATTGACCCGTGTACACAGCCTGGTGCATGTACTACGAAGCAAGTTCAACAATCCCTGGATATCTTCTTATTTTATTATTATCACGTTAAGCGGTCACATGATGCTGGTTATCATCCTCGGTAAGTAAGGTGGTGTTTCAGGTACAGTATGTCGTAAAAAAATCCCATTAAAAATGTAATAATATGGCATGTTGTGCAAGAATTTAAAAAACGTCAGTACAGTATAAAAATGTAATGGTATAGTATGTCACAAGCTATAATTACTGCCTCGTAGCCTCCAACAAACAACCATGTTGCAGTTTAAATCAATGTCTCTCCTAAATGTTATCACTGTTAGTTATCCTATTAGACATTTGTGTGAAATTGTTTATTATTAGCATATGTATCCATTGAGTGATGGCCAAAGACGTGTTTTGTGAGTGACTTGACCTTTGACCACTAAAATCTAATGAATTAGCTTAGCCAACGCTAGCTCACGACATTAGATTCGAGTGCTTTCGTCGGGGTCCACTCTGCCATCTTAATACCGACGTCTGTTACTTTCTTTCGGTAAGTCCATAGAATTAAATATTCAAGACTGCTTTTTTGATGTTGCATCCCATTGCCAGGCATAGAAGGCATGTTCAAAGTTTAAAACATAAAGACATGACGGGGACCAACAGTAAGCAAGGTATCTATAGGACTACATCTAAGCAACACATTCAGTTATTTGAATACACAAATTTAATTGTAGTCATTACTCGTTCTCTTGATGGGTCAGTGATGTTATACGTCTATTACTTTACATATTCACACCGTCCTACTGCATTTGACAGCTGCAACGGTGTTTGTTTTAACCGGATAACGACTTTGATTAGCCTGTAACCTCTTAGTATTTGTGTAATGTTGTTTTTCGATCCACATACAGAGATTTAAATGGTCAGTAGACGGTTCTTTTTTATGAGTTGATTGTTATCTCGAACATAACTTGCTCCGGAGCAGGTTAGGTGTGCAGCATAAGTTCACATGGTGACCTAACCCTGGTAAGAAGGAAAACACAGTTGTAACCCTAAAAAAAAAAAAAACAGAGTGAAACCTGAAGTTACCTTGCTAAACACAAATCCTGCTTCATAGTACAGGTCTCTGGTCTTGAACCCAACATGTAACACAAATCAGAACAAGGCAAAAACAAACTACTAAATACCTGTTTTATGAGCTGCTTCTCTGACATCTGTGGACTGCCTTCTATCAGGATCCTTTTTTAAGAGAAAAGTGCAAAAAGCATATTAGGCACATTTTTCATTCTTTCAGTCATTGAAGAAAATATCCACAAAATTGAAAAAGACACCACATAAAATATTATAAACCCCCCCCCAGCCAAAGTTAAAACAAAATACAGGGTGAGTTTTATGTTAACCACACACACGTGATCCGTCTCTACAGGCAAAGTTAAAGCAAGAAGACACGGACCCTTGTGTCGCGGTAACACTGGCTATTATTAATATCAGAGGACCAATTAGCTGGGGGAACAAATAAAACATCCTTTGTATATAAAACATTTAAATGAATGCATGATCTAACAGCTACTATAGGACACGATGTACGTGTCTTACTGGTTTGACTGATGCGAGCTTCTGGGAGGGTCCCGGTTGGGGCTTGGGAGGCAGCTTTAGATCCTGTACTTCAGTCTTAGCTTGAACTTCTGGTTTGGCTGCACTCGGTGGCTCTGGCGCCGCCTTTTTGCTCTCCTCCTCACAGCACTTCAAGCACACATACATCTGATCCTCCTCCTCCATTTCACGGACCTTCGTCAGGTCAAGACCAACGCAGTCGCCATGGAACCAGTCGTCACAGCGACCGCAACCTACCATGAACCTAAAAAAAAAGAAAAAAAAGGACAGATATTATCAAAAGGTGTTTTTGCTGAAAAGCTTTCCAAGAGACAGAGAGACGGATGACACTAATATTACAATTCCCTTCTTGTTTAATTAAGCACATATTTGACTGAAAGCCAGTCGGGTCATAATTGTACAAATGCTGTGGTTCACCAGCTTTGATGTTCCCATAATCATACCCATCCTCTCAAGTCTTACAGGCACAGCTCACCCAAAATCTAAAACACATATTTCTCCTCTTACCTGTAGTGCTATTTATTACTCACGATTGTTTTGGTGCGAGTTGGCTGGAAGTCAACAGCAATGTGTCCGGTAACTCAAGATTATCAATAGACCTGGTTGTCAGTTTGTGGATTATCAATACAACAATCTAGAGTGATAAATAGCACCACAAGTAAGTGAAAAATATGTATTTTTGCTTTTGGGGTGCACTGTCCCTTTTGACATTTTAATGTTGTTCACACGTGTGCAACAATCTAAACACCTTACCTGTCGAGTTAAATTCACAGCATTGCGTCATTAAGTTTGAGTAACAAAATAATGATCTCGCAACACTTACATGTTATTGTGGTGTTTTTTGCAAAGGCCACAGCAGTTGTTTCCATCCCACGCAGTCTCGCTGTTAGCCGGTTGCTCCTCGGCCGTTTCCTTCTTCACAACAGGAGCATTGTCTGGAATAAACAGCTGCGGCTCATCCACAGAGATGCTTCTTGCCGTTTTGCTTTTCTGTCTTTGAAGGATCTTTTCTGGCTTTTTCAGTTTGGGCTTTTCGTGACCTTCCTCTGGCATTTTTAGAGAAGGGCCTAGGCAACCGTGCGTCGGATTAGCGGTCTCAACTTTGGAGATATTGGGAGGATGAAGATGTTTCGTTGGTCCCTGCTGGTCGACTCGGTTGCCAGATGAAGGGCTCTTCTTCGCCACAGAGCTCGGTGTACTTGGCAGTTTTGGCTTCACTTTATTCTCTCCTGTGTCCTGTGTCTTCTGCATCTTAGTAGCATGCTCACTTTGGGTGTTTTCTGCTGGCCTTTTCAAAGGTGAAATGTCTTTCTTTTCCTTTGGAGATTTGATTTTGTGCAGGTCTCCTCTTTGGATTTTGGATGGCATGCTTTGGGACACTTTATGTCCCTTAATCATGTTGTTTGGTTTACCTGAAACCAAGTCCTTATTCTTGTTAGAGGTCAGTCCCTGTTTGGACTTTAACAGTGTTTGGGCCACAAACTGTTGTTTTTCCTTATCATCAGTCTTGTTACCAACAGCGGTTCTGTTATTCTCAATGTTTTGTGGCTCTTTGATGTCATGTTTTGCTTCACTGACTGACTTTTCTTTTTCAGGAACACTCAGATTGTCGAGATTTGTCTCCTGCGTTTCGGTGCTCCCCGTTGAAGTCCCGTTGGAGGTCTGCACGTCGTTAGGATTCACATACGGGCCCAGCCCGAGGGCTCCATCATCCGCAGAGCTCTTCTCAATTACATCCACCTCTGCCACATTCTCAGGTGTGGGATTCTCTACATTGACAGCATTATCTGTCAGCACGGCATACGTAAGACCACCGTCAAGGCCTGCAGACTGGCTCGCTTCAACATTCTGTGTGTAAGAGGGTCCTGGAAGCAGTTCAATCCTGAATCCTGCAATTGTGACTGTCAATCGTCTCAATACAACAGAGGGATTCAGCCATAAAACACCATCGAGATTGTTAAAATCAACACGCCCTCCCAGAGTTAATTCTCTCTTCAGTTGGGAGCCTTTAACTCCTTTCTCAATAAGAAAGGAGTTGTGTAGCCTGTTCGCTGGTTTCCTTCCAGCTCGTACTCGGATCATGGTTTTGGTGGATGAGTTGGCGGGTTGTGGACTACTGCTATGTTCTGTTTCAACAAGAAGAGACCAAACATAGAAAAGATCTGTGTCACGCCATCTCGAATTTGAAGGTGCTATGTGGTGGAAACAGCAATCTAAATGAGCAACTCACCGGATTCTAAGTTACGTGGACGTTTCTTCCGCCTGGCAACAGGTTGCTTGGCTTGTGTAATCTCTGCAACTTTTAGTTCGCTGCTTGGGCCTGTGGATGCTGAACCATCAGCGAGAACTGCAACAGCCAGAACAAATAAAATATAGTTTATTTCCCTGTGTATTAATAGAAATGCAAATCTGCTAAAAAAAAAAACTAAAACAATATTTACCACTGATAGAAGTAAAAATGGCAATCTCAACAGTTGAAGATTAGCTAGTTGGCTGACACTGATGATGTATTATTGTATCTGTGTCTTTAAAATTCAATTGATAGAAGAGATATCCGCACACTTAGATCTATGCAGAGTACACTTTATTTTAGCTTTCTGTCTAAAGGACCTTCACCAGAGCGTCATGATGAAGGTCCATTAGACCCAAAGCTAAAATAAAGTGTTCTGTGCATATATATACGATATCTAACTGTGCGGTTAGAGGGTGGCTTACTTAAGATAGCTGTGGTATCCTGCATGCTCTTTAAAATCTAATAACATGAAAATAAATTGGAAAAAAAACACCATTGAGTCTTGGTGATTTTGATCTCAAACAAAAATAAAACACAGTTTGAATGTGATGTATATCATCTGCTAATGCTGACATTAAAATGTTTGCGTACAAAAAGATGTTGACAGTTTTCCCTGCATACCTAAAACTAGGGAGGTATGCCGGTGTGATTTGTTTTATGCACCTGAAAAGCTGACGAAAAATTCAAAACTAAGCATATCAGAGAATAGATAGTTGGAACAAGTATAAATAAACATTTTTAACGTCTTGTGACATACCTGTTGAGCCAGCAATCTGAAAAGTGGAGTCCTCATTGTCCAGCAGATTGAACTGAGAGCTTGCACATCCAAACATGGGGTCTTTGTCGCTGAGCATGTTCTTCAGTGACTCTTCCAGTCGGGGTCCTGTCCCAAACTCATTACCGGCTTCACATTCCAAATTCTGACCTGTTATCAGGGAGTCGTCCAACTGGTCACTGGGTATTAAATGATTAATGTCCACAATATCCATGAATGCTCCTGCCTTCCTGTATTAAAACAACACAGACAGAAGAAGGGAAAGCAGGAATCAAATGACCCATTTTGATAAAAAAATTGATATAAATAATGCTTCAAAACAACCATCATGTATCATATCCATCTAACCAGGCTAGAGAGGATCTGAGTAGATATTCAGTGGCAACAGGCGAAACATACGGTTTAAAACCAAATGAGATCAGCATCCCTTGATTAGTGACTTCAAAATAAAATAATCAACAACATCAACATGAGGGACAACATAAACTCAAAGGAAACGCATGCATTCACACCGCTCTTTGTCAGTCAAACGGGATTTAAATTGATTAAAAGGGATTCTCTTGTCTAAATGTACAAGCTTCTGCAGATTGTTCCACTTTTGTGGAGCATAGTATTTAAGGGCCAACTTCCAAATCTCCGTATTAACTTGATGATTTTCGGCGACCAATTAGTCTCGGGACCTGGCCAGTGTGAAATTAATCTATAGTTAGAAATACATGCAAGATACTCAAAAAGTGCTTTGCACTACACATTTCTACTGGCTTTGGGTTTCCTTATTAAGTAATTTATTTTGAATTTTCTATTTTCAGATCATGTGATGATAAACAAAAGGGGAAACTGCAGTAATATTTGAGGTGAACCAGAAAGGCAAAGGCAACATTCAGGATTAATGTGTTAGAGTAACCTACCCACCATATATTCTGAAATCTGCTGTTATTCAACCGATAGCAGGCATAACATGTAAATTTAAGATGTAGCTAAAGAAGTGTTTAACCTTTTTTTTTATTATTATTAAAAAATAAAGAAAATTAAGGTTTAAGGACTAAAAACACAGTATTTGCATATTAGTTTAGCTTGAACCAAAACTATTGAAAATGTGGATAACCTCGATTGGTTTCCTTGTTATCGGACAGCTTTCAAACTGTCAACTGTGAGGTCCCCTGTGCCCTAAATGGTTGGTCTTTCAGGTTCAAACTATGTTCAAGAACTCTCGCATGTAGGAAAACACACGAAATGTGTTTGATTTCAGGCGGAATGCCCCTTACAGTTGTTGGAAATAGAGCGACGGACAGTATAAAACTTTAACGTTAAACGCTGCCTGTCTTGCTGTCCTACATTAAGCCATTATCTCAGTTTTGGCCATTTCCTCCGTGGCTCGTTCACGTTTACATTACCGAGCTAACAACAGGTTCGAGGTACATTAACGCAAGTGCAAGGAAACTATTGCTATGGCACACTTGGAGAACCTGCAAAGAGAGAAGCTAATGTTAGCTTTACTGCAAGTTACCGTTTTTAGATCACGTTACAACAGCACAACCTTGAGCAGGCCAGAACTCAACAGTGCTCATGTGAAAATACGACTTAGATATGTTGGCAAATCTCTAGAAGTGTTGATTTAATGCCACCTAATACGACTTAATGCCCACATGAATAACCGCGTTTCTGTGTACAGGTTCTCCCATTGAAGTGTTTCTAGCTAGCATGCTAACGTTACAGGACTGCTAGCGACAACCCGCTGCACAACGTTAGCGTTAGCATGTACGATGTTAGCAAGCTAACGGTAACTTATGAAGGAAGTTATCACCCAAGGTACCTCACTGTTTTAAACTCAAACACTGTTCCTATATAATATCATTTAAAACAATAAAATATGTGGCAGAAAAGCTAAGAATATGTGCAAGAAAATGTAAATATTAGACAGTTCGATGCTAAATCTGTCAGACTAGCTAGGTCGCTTTAGCATAGCCTAGGCCTCGAGTTACCAAGTTTGTTTGTAGCCTGAGTGCTCATAACGGCCGTTAGATGATCACGCCCACATGCATCTGTTCCATCGCGTGCAGTTTGGATCTTTTGACACATTTCTCTTAATATACAAGTGTCTTACCTCTCCCTTTGCTGCAATATCGTACCCAACGCGAATAGGATTACATACTAGCACAGCTGCTCCCAGTAACTTCCTCCAACTCGGCCGTCATTCGTGCTGCTGCTGCAAAGCCCCTGACAGGCAGCGCTGTGTGTCACGTGTCTTCTGTTTACAGGTAGCATAGCAGCTGATAGTACAGACATAGCACGTATCCACAGCGTGGGTTTATTCTGTAAGTGCAGAGGGTTCAACAGTCCTGAAGAGACTTTGTTGTTTAAGTCAACTTTTCGAACTGTCACACTTGGAGAAAACAATGGATTGTTTGATTTATTTCCAGATGAAAAAAGTGAAATATTTGACACCCTCTTGCCTGGAAAGCCAATGTATTTATTTTTTACATTTGAAAAGGAGAGTCTAGCCTTTTGTGTCAAATTACCTGCATGCAGGAACCAAAGGATATTTTTAAACTGTTAAGCAAAAAGACAAGTCAAAAGTCCATAATAAAAAGGATAAAAAGTGTGGTCCCCACACAATCACAATAGTGTCCACAATCATGTTCTTTTTTACATACTCTTGTTTTAGATTCATTTAGAGATTTCAATCATATATTTCAGTTTGATACATCTACCCCATAACTATAGTTTAAAAATTGTATTAAGTCCTAATCCAGTTTTTAAATGTGAAACAACACCATATGAAACAGCTGCCTCTATGACTTAAATCACAGTGGGGGATGGTCACACTATCTCATTTAAATTCTTAATCAGGTTTGTAGATAGTGAGTGTCTCTGTTTGAGCCGCCATTGTTTCAGAGGATTAGGCAAGGCCAAAAATGCTGCTGGCCAAATGAAGAGGAAGTTCATGAATGAGGCTGTTGTTATGTCTACAACCCCCAAATAGTCCATTTCTACCAGAAGTGCTTGAAAAACACTATAAACACTTGTGATGAAACTATCCATGTGATGAAAAAGAAAATGTCAGATATGTTTCACAGACTTACAGTACTTAAATCAATACATTTTAACAGCTCATTTTATTGACAAACCTGAGCTGATCAATATCATGTAAAATGTTTGGACCTTATTCGAATCGAGTGGAGTTGGTTTCGGGTTGACAAACAGAAATGGGAGGAAAAAAAACTAACACAATGTAAAAGAGAATTTAATAGAATAACTCAGAGATCCTACATCAGCATATGTTCTATGCAATCCAGAATTCACGGGGAAAGCAAAACTAGTCTAATGTATGGACTCTACTCTAATATCCACCATCTTCTAGTTTTCACTATATGTGCAGTACAGTACCGAACTTGAACATCACAGATTAGAAAGACGAAGCTACAAACAACCGTAGCAAATGCCCAATAAGAGTGATCCAAACCATAGTGAATTAGTAAAAAACATAAGAAATACCGTTCACGATATTATGGAATAAATGAGGATTAAAATTGTAAAAATGGTTATTGGGATAACTGCTCTTTTCGTCTTTCATTTGGTTCTAATCCATACCACAGACCATCATGATCCACTGCTGCCCAGGCCATTCGTTCTGTGGTGAAGGTGGCTGCCCACTGTCCTGATGGAGAAACTACAATAGCACCCCCTGCACCAAGGACACGGTCTCCCATGTACTTCAGAGACAACTGAGAAGAATCGGCGAGTGATTTACCTGCGGAGGCGAAGAGAAAAAATGGAAAATGGTTGGTAAATACCACATCTCACTGAGTCCTACGATATCTAGTTTTTTTTCAATTTTATTCAGCTAATAATGCCTTTAGTATGAAATAGAAGCTTGTCTCTCCCTCATTTAATAATTGCAGCCATTGTTAAAATCACACTATCAAATAAAATCCTGAAAAAGAAATATCACACATGTGACTTGTCTAAATAGTTTTAAAGTTTGATACTTCACCTTGTTCAACAAGTGAAAGAATGAGTCTGGCCAATGTGACTTTAAGAATAGACTCTCCGTGACCAGTACAAGACACTGCACCGATAAAGTTGTCTGCGTATCCGCCAGAGCCTTATTTACAAGGGAGAACATGAAAACAATAAAAACATGAAATCAACTTTTTTTATTTCTATTTTTTTTTTTAAACTGCTCAATTTCACACATTGGTGTCCCCAAATATTCTAAGACAAAAATAAAAATAAAAAATAATAATAAAAAAAGTCGAGAGTAAATAAATAAATCTGCTCTGAAAGTGTAGCTTGTTTGGATAAAGTAACTTAAGTGATAAACTCTAAATTTATAATAATGATAATATTATAATTTATTAAGAATTTAACTGAAGCTGACAGTGTAAAATGTGCTACTTGAGACAGTGCAAGTAAATTAAGTCATACCGATGATAGGAGAGTCTCCCACTCTGCCAACCATTTTATTTCTGATCCCACCAGTTGATGTTGCACATGCAACATTGCCCGCAGAGTCCACAGCCACTGCCCCAACAGTATCATGGGCCCTAGAATGACAAGAAAAGGTGAATGAGAAAGACATATTTTATTTAGAAAGGATTGACTTTGTCGAGTGTGAAGAGGACAACTTGAAAACATCTTCTCCTGCAGTATTAACGTGTAGAGATTTATGAGGAAATCTATGTTCAGACTAGAAAATGAAGTGAAACACTGCAAATACTTACCACTGACAGTTAAAATCCTCCATTACTCCAGCAACATAATTCTTGTTTTTCCTCCACTCCTTCATCTCATTCTCAGTCACCAGTGTATCAGTGGGAACTGTGGCCATGCCAATGCTCTCTGCAAACAGGTTTGCACCTCTGCTTGTCAACATGACGTGGGCTGTCTGAAAGTTTAAATGGCAGCAGACGTGTAAGAAAAAGCTCAAACAGAAAATGGATTTCAAAACATACGATTGTTGGGTAATTATAACACCTCAATGCTTTTGTTCATTGCACAAAAAAAAGCGGGTTTGCTATTAGAAACATTTATTTAAAATATCAAAATCACTAATCAAATCAGTGTCGTTCTAACCATCAGTGGTCTCTTACTGTTTCTTTTAAAGAGAGACAAAATCAAAGTATTTAAGATGATACCTTTTCCATCACGGCCCGTGCCAGTGACACAGGATTGGCAATGTTCTTCACTGAAGACACCGCACCGCTGGCAAGTGTCCTTCCATCCATGATAATGGCATCCAGCTCTACCTCTCCATCAGCATTCAGCACTGCTCCGTGCCCTACAATCACAATCAGTGACTAACTTAAGCAATGGCTCAGACAAAACAAATGATGCATATGTTCTCAGAAGCTGCACAGCTGATAGCGAGTGACCACGTAAACTGGAAGATCTTCATCAATGCTGAGAATCTAAATGAATAAAATCAGACAAGAGAGGGTGTGAGAAAAGACAGGCTGGAGATACGATGACCCTCCTCCTCCTACTTCATGTGCAGAGGTGTTATGTTGCCTGCTACATCCTCACAGGTCCACAGGGTGGTGACAAAGCAGTACAGTAGAGCACAGTGCTCATGACAGATACATCATTGATATCCGGTTTGTATTCCCTTGTACAGATTTTGTTGGTGCATAAAAATGCATCTAAACATTTGCATTGGTGTTTATGTATAATTTGAAAGCTTCTAAGGTCTGAAATGTAGTTTTAATGTAGACTAATTGTATACAAATTAAGTTAATACACATGGCTATGTAAAGCATGTTGGCAGATGAAAACTATACGCACAGGCAAGATAAGTATCACTGTGCTAATAGTTGCAGCTAATGTTAATAGGCTTGGTAAAGTACCAGAAGATTGTTATTTTGTACAGTGTGTCTACCTTCTATTGGGGCAAGTCATTGTTTTTCAAGCGTGCTGGAATCACCAGAAGAGCAAAGCGATTGGACATAATCTAAAATGTAGATTAGATTTTTGAGCAGACTCTATTTGGGATTAAAGCCAGATTATGAGGATGAGCCCCACAATCAGTCAGCAACCTCGTGGTGTTGCCAGTCTAGATGAATGTTGGCAACACCACCAGCAGATGGAGACATTGAGTCACAGACAAGTTAGGCTAATGAAAAGGCACCCTAAATCCAGAGATACCCTTACTGGAGGTAGAACAAAGTACAGCAATGTTTTCATATCCTCTTAGGTCTCCTACATATGAAATTAATTATGTTATATTAAAAAAAGTGGTCAAATTGTCCTGCAAAAAATCCAATAAACTGGCAACTGAGTGTATAAAACTGTTTTTCAATTGTAATTTGTAAAATATAGATTTTAAATGTATACTTGTGTGTGTGTGTGTGTGTGTGTGTGTGTGTGTGTGTGTGTGTGTGTGTGTAAGTGTGTCTATATGGTTAATAAATCTTGAAAATAATGATTCTGTACAGTATACCTGCATCAAACACAGTGTTATCTTCCAGACCCCTCACAGCTGCCTCAACAGCATCCAGTGCACTTCCTCCTCTTTGCAGCACTGAAAACCCGTCACATGCTGCAACCTTCACTCCATCAACAGAAGCCTTGGCCAGGCCGTTTGGTATTGCCCACGCACCACCATGCACCACTATGACTGCCGACATCTTTAGGTTCCTGTAAGAAAAAGACAGCGTTGTTCATTGAGGCTCACAAAATGCATACCAGAGGAGATATTGGTTTACTGATATCTACACAATCGTGTCTGTGCCTTTGTGGTTATCACTCAAATCGCTGGCAAATGTTTCTGAGCTTAATTTAAGTGCTAACTTTAGTCCCATCCAAATCAATCCTCTTGTCGATAGTGACACTGGCTCACTGCGTATGACACTTGACCCTATTGTCCCTCGAAAAAAGAAGATAATAAAACAAAGGAAGTTAGCCCCGTTTTATAACCCTCACACCCATTAATTAAAGCAAACATTGCGTAATCTTGAAAGGATATGGCGTTCTACAAGAATCTTGGTTAGTCTGGCAAGATAGTCTCATCTATGACTCATCTATAATATAGGCCGACACAGAGTCACAGCTCTAGCCATGTATTCCCATAGTCCTCACTCGGTAGTAACAACTTCAGAGAGAGAGACAAAACTAATCACCTCCTGCCCTCAACCAGTGCCGATTTATCCTCATACTTAGGATCCTTAGAAACGGATGTACAACCTGAGATACATATATATATA